AAACAGCGTTTCTCTGGGGGATAAACCGAGTTGTAGGCCTCGCTGCGAAAGGCCGACAAACAACTAGCCGGGATGTCAATCGATATACAATCGATATAAAATAGTCATTACCGTACAAGTACATGGCTTCGACCTTTTCTCAGTTTGCTCTAACCACAGTAAGTTCAGAGTGAAAAGCCAGCTGGAATCTACTGAGAAATCACCATTCTTAAGTTTGTAGATGTCCCCAGCTCGAAAGTAAATAGATCCCTCTCTCAGAAGTAGATTTCTTCCGAAATGTTTTAGAGATGGTAAAATTAGGGACTTTGGCCGTAAAATTTCCGCTTGGAAAAAAGCGACATTAGTTACGCAACAACCTAATATAGTCACACTTAGAATTCGCATGAATGCTGAGTATTAGTGCCATTATTTCATCTAGTAAATTTGTGGAGTTGAGCAAAAGCGATCACGAGTTTTTGTAATAGAGTTTTCAGAAGAAGGTAACTTGGAAGTAATGCGTATCCAATATGTATCATAAAGATTCCAAATCAGGGAACCCGGGGGTACCGTGAAATATGGGTAAGATGAGGTTGCAATCGCATAGGAATAGTGTAGCACTTAGGAGAAACGAGCGTTCAACACAGACTCAAACAATGTCGCACCACTGAAATATCCGGTCTTCATGAAACACTTTTTTCATACCCAATTTTTACTTGCTCCTTCTCATTTTGTTTGTATTCCAGAGTCTACACCGTGTTTCACCGATATGCCTGCCTTGTGATCTGCCTCATTGGCGTCATTTCGAACGCCGTCCACATTTTGGTGCTGTCACGACCGCGAATGCGACGTTGTGCGGTGAATTGCGTGCTCACAGCTGTTGCTTTTTGCGACGTGGTCACAATGACTTCATACACCATATACCTCTTCCGATTCCGAATTTATCAGGTAAATATTCGTTACTGAAATTTGGAGCATGCAATTCTGTAGAGGCCGCCTTGTCAAAATATTGGGACATTGTGCAGCTGATCGTAGGCATATGTAGATGGTTGGTATTCTAGTTTTGGGCGTAAGCGTTGAGGTAGCAAGCAGCTCGGGTATGATCTGGATATCAAATCGTGCGTCACACGACGTCAATGCCATTAGGGCCTTCAACCCTCGAGTATGGGTCAACTGGAACCAGACTTGTTTGAGAGGATGAAGAGGCAGACTTCTACATCGGCTGACTCCCGCAACTCGTCTTATAGGCCACGTACCGTTCAACATATCATTAAGAGATTTAAATGTTGAAATGGTGGTGCATCCTGAACCCTTTCACCCCTGAAGCTTTCCGATCACAAAATAAAAAATGGAACGCCGTTAACGTTGCCATATTTTCTTAGTTTTTTTTTCTTAGCTTCCTGCTCCGAAATCCCGGCGCCCAAAAGTTCCTTAGTAATGTCGAAGTTTATGATCTCGGCCCAACTTGCACGCTACGTTTTGATAACCAACATTGCACCTCACGTTTTTGATAACAAGATGGAGATATTTTCAAACTAGGAAAAATAATTGACGCTTGCCCAGCATGTCGCTGAGACTAGCACCAACGGGAAGGTCTTTCTAAGTAACCACGAGCAGTGAATAGTAAAAATGTGTTATTGCCCCTACAAACCTGTGAACTTGGTGGTGGCAATAGACAGCGCCAGAGCCGAAAGCGTTTAAAGAGATTGTTCAACGCAGAATGCTTTGACCTTTCTCTTTCCAACATATAGTTATCGAATCGTGCTTCAGGGCGAGAACGGCTATTCCTACAACTGGATGTTATTTCTGAAGATTCACGTCGTCGTCAGTATTGCTCTCCATGCCATAACTCTGTATATGGGAGCCGCGTTAGCCTTCATACGATGGCAAGCGTTAGGAAACATTCACAGCCGATGGCTTCAGCCCAGATCCGCTTGGTAAGATGATTGCTTGAGTTCATTTCTAGGAATTTCCTATTCTGTGTCGAAAAAAGGGATCCAATTTGCGCTGAACTTCCCCCAGCGACCTCATCGCACATTTCTAGAAACAAGACGCGCCATCGCTGAGTAATGTGCCAGGGTAAGGTCATAGTGATAAAATCCGGTGAATAGTGAAGCAACATTGGGATTGGGCTGCTTAGGCCTTATTAGCCTACGGTGGCTGTTCTTTTTTTCAAAGAAGCGAAATTAGCAAAATTCAAAATGAGGTGATTACCGGATGATGGGACTCGGGAGAACATTGAGGGGCTATTTCTCATAAACATGGGTCTACTACCTCGTATTTTCTGAATAGTCTTTTTAAATGTTGTTCTATTCCCCTTAGCCCGTTATACCCTTTTATAGCTTCGAATGCATCAGCGGTCGCTACGCTTACTCACCGTTACTTGTGGTGTTGACTGCTTTTGGCCAAAATGACGAGGGTCGACCCTCGCGGAATCACGCTTGAACACCAGTATGGATCGGATTACTCATGAGTCGCATGTGTGGCAATTTTGTTCGCTGAACGCTTCCGAGCTCACTGAATTCCCATAATAAATGCAACACAAGGGGGTGCGATATTCGGAATATCCGGAAATTTTGCAAATTGCCACCATCCAAATCGCATTACTGACGCAGAATGAGTATCATATGCTGGGATGAGGCCACATATGGCCGAACCGGAAGGGACGTCTGGATAAAATGTTGCTAACAATAACAAAATACGGTCTTCCTCTATTACGTCAATCGCTAATTCGCTGCGATATGTCTGCCCGATCCTCCGCAAAACGAGTAAAAAAGGCATCTGATGGAACAAACCAATGGCTGATTGAATTTGGAAGCTCATGGATCTTGTGGTATCAATTCTGGTGTAATCCCCAGTTGAGAACGCTTTCATCAGGGTGCATTTGGTACCATCGCGGTCAGTATCAACCGCCCATTCACACTAATCAAACGAGGGGTTTGCATTTTGGGTTCTGGGAGTGGGAGAGGGTCGCACTAAGGGTTGTGCCAGGTCACATGCCCTTAAGGAAAGTATGAATGGAGAGGTCGGTCTTTAAAAGATGAAGAGGTGGTGAAGCAGAGTTGATAATTTTTGACGGGCGTTTTGGAGATTTTGTCGAGAACTCACGAAAGTAGCCTGAATTTTACAAAACGTCGGATATGTTGCACCATTTTAACCCACCTTCCCCCCTCCGCCATCCCGCGACGGCCGTTTCAAAGCGAAAACTATCAGCAGGCTGTGGAACAATTTGAAATGAATTCCGACTGGTTTTCAGAATCGAATGACTGTAGAATACTGAGAAAGGCATTGGTGGGGTAGTGGGGAAGGCGGTCGTATTGGGGAAACCACCTGAGATTGATGGTGTTGGGGTGGTAGGGATCGCTTTGAAAAATCCCGAAGGGGGGGGGGTTCGCAAAATTTTTGGAACTGTGTGGACGCGACAGTCAGCCAGTCTATAGGGTAACAGTGTCTCACCTGGGGGTCACCACCCCATTCGCCGCATAAGCAGGAAAATGGGAATTAAACCCCTGATAAAAATCCTCTGTACTTTGGGCGATATTCTGCCATCACTCTGCTATTGTTATCAGTTCTTTTCAGGAAGCTATTCGCGATCGTGACAGCTTCGATCTCGATAATGTGTGTGCCGACGGTGATTCTGCATGAGATTTTCGTTGTGCAGAACGGTACGTTAACCTTACTTCATCTCCCGCATATTTTTTTATGGTCCTCAGAAAACTCGCACTGTCCACTTTAGTCGCTCCATTCGGATGCGCCGCGCATTTATGTGTTTTGCTCCAAATAAAAAGTTTGGGAATATTTAAAGCCGAGTTGCCTCCTTGTGAAAGCATACAAGACTTAACTCTTCCAACTAACCTACTATTAGCTGGAGGGACCTGGAAAAGAGTGGTGAAGTGACTGGATTCATTCTATGAATCACCGAAATTGCTTTTACGATTAGTGCCCTTTGCCATTGAGTTGCTAGCTTTGCTTACCTCTCCAGTTACCAACTTTTGATGGCTTCAATTTTCTTGCAGCAAAGGCTCAATCAAATCGGACTGAGAGAAATGACTCTGATAAAACTTGCCCTTTATCCTTTTGAAACTTCTTCGCAATTCCTCGGAATTTTTGTCCACAACCCAGCATCCTTATAATTTATGAATTTCGTGCAGCTGGAATGTGAAACTGAAAATTGCGCAATCGCTGGAGCGAATTTTGCGTACTTTTCTGTTTTTTTTTTACAATAATCAACGTCATATTACGTTTTGTTACAAGTTAAGCACCTATTTGCAGATCAACCGACATCTACGCCGTCGTACACATTGGACTTTTCGAACTACTCATGTGGTTTTTACAAGTTCAATCTTTGGATGTTGGCAGTAGCGATGAAGGTGAGCGCACGGCTATCAGATTTCGCTCTACGTGAATCGTTTGCTATTGGAGGACAATCCAATTTTTGCTTCGAGATTGATGTCCCTCCCTGAATTTCGACCAAACAAGGGGAAACTCCATATTCCTAGGGCACTTATTTTTTCACTTGAATTGAAATGCAACAGAAAATGGAGATGGTGCGGGAGTGCATGCAGTGAAACATTAGTAAGGGCTCAATCTTTCCTTTTGTCCTTACTTAATTCTGGATTTCCTTCCTTCTTCTTTTTCTATCGAATTCCGTTTCTATTTACTACAAGTTGTTAACCCTTTGACGACCGCCGTTATGAATGCGTCACTTCACTTCTTTCTAAATTTTTTCATCAATAATCATTAACTCTCCAACAATTTCACTATTAGTAATTAGCGCATTATTCCGCGAATTCGATAATGTATTTGTGTAGTTTTGAAACATGAAAAATGCCAAAATAAACCCCTAAAAACGTGTCGCCACCGAGCGAAAGTGTGGCCCACCGGCGGGCCACACGGTCGTCAAAGGGTTAATTGATTTACATCGCGCGGTCGGAAGCAGGCTATGAAACGGAAAGTTCCATCTCACAATGTTTACAGTACTTTTCACGCGCCGTCACGCCCACACCAACCCCTTCTCCCATAATTTCTTACCAGAAGGGTAAGGTGCTGGGCATCAATCGAACTATTTGGGCTATGAAATGAAGTTGTACCATTCATGAAAGTACGTAGTGGTGTTTCAATAAACAAGAACAAGAGGAGCGTCACACACGATTAATTGTGTGACAAGCGGGTGTTAGTGTACGGTTCAGTGGGTCATGCCGTGAATGGCTATAGCACCAATTAGCCGACTCGAAGACATGAAACGGGTGCTTGATAACTTTGAAACTAAGTTCTTACTAACCGTGTTTGTAGAACAGTCGTATTTGTGTCACCTCCGCAGTCAATATTTGCAAAATGTTGACAGATTTAGGCTGAAAATTTAGACTGAATGTCTTCCTGATTTCAGGCGATTCCTTGCGCATTACTATTGTGGTTTACGGTGGCATTGGTGTTGAAGCTTCGCCAGACCGACGAGAAACGGAACTATCTGTATTCGAAAAGTTTCCGGAAACACATTAAGAAGACGACTGTACCGGATCGAACTACGTACATGCTGATTATCATGCTGGTCGTATTTCTGGTCACCGAACTTCCGCAAGGGTTTCTCGCCCTACTCAACGGTGAGCAATTCTTCAGTAACCAACGAATGGGCAAACCGCCAACCATTTTTTGAACAGATTTATTATAGGTGTCTACACCACCGACGTCAATAATTACATCTATCAGCATGTTGGAGAGCTGTTCGATTTGCTGTCGTTAGTGAATTGCAGGTTTGTCTTTACTAAAACCCTCAGAAGAACCTTTCAAGATCGATTAAAAGTATGGGAACTCCAAAGAAGAAAAAACAGTTAGACTGTCTTGACTTTTAGGTTCCATGTAAGAAGGTCAACGATTCTTGTTTACATTATATTGAATCAAATAAACGTTTCTTCAGTTCAAAATTCAAGAGATCAGTAGTAATTGTCTCAAGGGCGACTCATTGATCCCTGCGGTGCGAATTCTGAGAATGAGACCTAGCAAGCGATGAGGCTAGCTTCTCGATGCTTCTGACACTCCCTCAGAAATCTGTTTCGGGCTCAATTTAGGTGAAGGTTTGCGGACAAACGCCTCCTCTTACTTCTAGGGTTCAAGGAGGATTCCACGATAAGGTCAGAGCCCGAAGAAGGGGTAGTATATTAAGTCAAAAGGCGGGCGGCTCAATCAGGGTGCGGGATGATGCGCGTTTCGCAGCAAAGGGTACCGCACGCGGCTTGGCAGGGTCATACCCGCGCTACTCGCGCCACGGCACGCCCACCCTCTCGCCGTCTGACTCTAGCCGTTTAGCAGAGAGAGCGTTAGCGTTGAAGAGGGCAGCACCGATGAGAGTCGCATCAATGCGGAAATCAACGAGCAAAGGGGCCCATTTCTCGGGTTCTGGGCCGTACTTCATTCTTCTTCCCTGCACCACTGACCACCTCTGCCTTGTCAAAATTGGCTGCCTTTTTGTCATAAACCCGCGTTTAATCCGCAATATCTGCTGTGCTTATAAGACGTCGCCGCTGATTCTTACTATTTTTTCTACATTGTCTCGACTTCTTCGAGATGATTATTGATAGCATCCCTCCAAAAATCTTTTTTGTCCCACGTGGTCGTCTTCATTAGGCAAATTTAGTGCTTTTCATAAAGTCATCGATGATCGATACTTATTCATTTACCCATTTTCAGTGTCGACTTCGTGCTGTACTGTTTCATGAGCTCACGTTACCGGCAGACGTTCGGCCATATTCTGATACGGGTGGAAAGTTGGCTGCGTAACCAGAACAACGGCTGCAAATACACAAAGGATATCCCGAAAACACCACCACCCACGGTTGTTTAGTATCAAACTTCGCCAACTATTTCCTTGTATATACTAAGTATTTGCTGCAATGTTCAACATTCCAACACGGGTTTAATTATATGATCTGTATATGTGAGATATTTTCGTTTTTCGTATTGTTTATGCCACAGTGATTGCCAAATTGTACCACTGTATAC